TCTGGTCATTGCTGGGCCAACACCATATGAATCAAAAATTGTTGATTCCATATCTTTTTGAACAAATCAACTATAGTCTAATTGGTTCAGACGTGAGAATAATGTGGCGGGTTTGTGAATCTAATCGTATCGTTGAATATTTATCTTATCATTTTATTTTCAACATTTCTTTAAAAAATAATTCATTTCCCATAGATTTGAGTCGTCATCTGCCCTCCAACTGAAATACAATTCCGCAATCTGTTTGTTGAGCAGAAACGTTTATATCTTTCTTAAAGATCAGGAGAAATTTTACTGATTTTTAAGAGGTTTTGGTAAAAAAAAAGTAATGAATTCACAATATTGCTTAGCAACAGCTAAAGAAAACAAAATACAGTTTAACAATAACAAACAAATTATCGGACATATTATTTATGTAAATAATTTAGTCTTCTCTCACTGCTTACACTGATAGAAGTCACCTGTGCACAGGAGGTTCAGGTCGGACTTATTGTACAAGTTTTTAGTGGTAGGGGAAACCGGAGCACCCGGAGGAAACTTACACAGACACGAGAATAGGACGTGCAAACTCCACACAGAGAGGCCCTGGTCTGACCCCATGCATTTCAGTTATTTATCTAGATTCTTCCGGAGCAAAAACACGTAATCTGAGACACTAATGATTGAGAAATTATCAAATATATACATTTTATTTCCCTGAAAGTTAAAATTAAATGTGACTCAGTATCTCGCTTGTGTTTTTCCTGACACCCTTATGCAATAAACAAATTCCAACCATTGAAACACATTCGCTTTATACTATTTCAGGAGTTTTGAGCTTGGCCGTGGGTGTGGGACAGGTAAATCCAGAGCGGCTGTTGCTTCGTGACTCTCTCTTCTCCTGCTCTTTTAAAAGGGAATGTGCAGCTCTCCCGCTCTTAAAGGCGATGTGGTATTTACAGAAAGTGTGTTGGACGTTTGTGGGAGGCAGAGACAGAAGGGCGCGCAGATGGAGGAGAAACAGAGGAGGGCGCAAATTAATAAACAAATCAAAAACGGCAAACAAATAGGTTTGCGGTACATCAGGACATGACTGATGAAGCGCTAAACGTGGCTTCTCTTGGTTGAACTTCAGAGTAAAGTCATCAAAAAAAAGTCAGATTTTAATCAATATTAAAACTGGGATTGGAAATTAAAGCTGGGGCGTTTAATTTGTTTCCCATAAATAATATATTGCGTTTGTCCCAACATAAAGAGTCTTGCAAAAGTAAAAGGCCGTTAACAAATCAAGCCACAACAAGCAATCTTCATCTTAAAAGAAGACACACAATCTTTTGCATACATGGACGAAATGAGCCCTGTGAGTCACTATTTGTCTCTTTTTCACTATCTGGTCTGAGGTCTGGCTGATCTAAAGATGTGACAGAGGCAAAAAAAAAATACAAGCATGCAAAAACTAGAACCAAACTTTTGAGGTTGTATTTTGTTGTATTGTATTTATTTCGAGCAAGTAAGTGAGCATAGAAATAATTAGTGCAAATTAATCACAATTTGTAGGTACATTTACAAAATATAACAAAAAAAGAGTAAGAGTTACTCATGCGAACATAACACTTATGGATGCTCGAAAAGCAGTGGGAAGTAAGAAATAAAGAAGAAAAGAAGTAAATACTTATTTAATCCCACCCCTAATTACTTCAGTCATTACAAAGGTAAAGTAAAGGGAGGTGAGGAATTATGTAATGAAATGTATTGCTTTTTACAGACATTATCAGTTTTGTGCGGTTGAAAAGTTGGGTACCCCAGCATAAAAGCGAATGACTGTACATTTCATACATTTACAAGACATAATTGGACATTTTTTTAATACAATAATAATACATCAAGCTTTTTAGATGCTTTACAAAAAGACAAATTAATAATTTAAAAAAAATTAAAATAAAGTCGGCCGGTCTGTCCGAGTTGTTTGAGGATGGGGGTGATGTGGTCTCTGGAGTGGGTATGTGTGCGGCGGCAGAGTTCTGGATATTCTGGAGTTTTTGGAAATGTATGGCTCAAATAATTGAAAAACTGTCCACTCAACCATGAAGTTTCCTCTCCACTTAAAAAATGTATTTGATTAAGTCTTGCTTTGAGGCAATATATTTGTAAGCTTAGTGCTGGATTTTTCTGCTATAATTTAAGTTTTTTTTACTACCGTCATATGATTCATTAGACATGAATAACACTCATAATAAAGAAATATATCTAAACTAATAACTTGACTTATCGACCGATCACCTGTCAGGAACAGTGGTCCTACCAGCTTTGAATGAGGACTTTTATATTACTCCGTTTGTCACAGTGACATCAAAATTATATGAAGATTTGGCTCAACCTATGCAAGGACTTAAATGAAAAAACTGGTTGCATACCTCTATCAGAAAAGGGCTATAATCAAATGCTATGTCTTGTGTCTGTGTTGCCAGGCAACCAAAAGTCCCTTGTTGAGAAGCTCTTATTACTGTTTGACTCTTTCTACAGTGGCCTGGAGAGCGAGAGACCCGAGACCAGCAGAAAAATACAGAGAAAAACAAGACAGCACTAAGTTAACCTTCATGTGCGGCTCAGGTGCAGCAGAAAAATGTAAAACCGTGGAGGACGACGAAATATACTGCACAGAAGGTTTTCTAATTAGTATAACATCAGTCCAGCCAATGTCCAAGTAAAATATGTGTAAAAACTGCATGTCATGTCAATGTCATGGTGACGAGCTGTATTGGATATCATACGGAAATTCCAGATTAAAGACCGCAGTTAGTTAATGCATAGCGAAGTCAGCTTCAAAAAACGTTTTTTATTATGACTTCAAGAAAAAGTTGCATCCAGAGCTGCTTCTATCAGTTTGGGTGCCCAAAGCTGAAAAAAAGATTGTGCCCACCACCCCCCCTTCCCCACCCCGATTTCTTCATACAATTCTGGGCTCATTATTCTTTTGGGTGTCCCATTATAATATTTTTTTCCATATGCATTTTTTATTTACCAAAAGAAAAACCAATTACAATAGCGGTGCAGACCATTTTCCACCGCTTCCACCTTGTGATTCAATTAATCTATGTAGCACAGATGTATTATTATCACAGCTTCATTATTCTCATGTCTGAATACATGTTGTAGAAATCCTTTGAATTAAAGTGTAGTCTATGGCATATTATCAGTGCATTTCAATATAGTAAGAAAAATAGTTAAATTAAAACTAAAAAAGTGTATATATTCAAGCTATTAAAAGCTATTATAGGCAAGGCAAGGCAAGTTTATTTGTATAGCACAATTCATACACAAGGCAACTCAAAGTGCTGAACAAGATAGCATTAAAATCATAAATAATCACAGAACATTAAAAAGAAAGATAAAAATATAAAATCCCTCAGTTGTATGCACAGCTAAACAGCACCGTTTTTAACTTGGTTTTAAACATAGTCAGAGAGGAGGCCTGTCTCACATCCTCAGGAAGAATGTTCCAGATTTTAGCAGCATGAATCTGAAAAGCAGCCTCCCCATGTTTAGTTCTGACTCTGGGCACTAACAGGAGTCCAGTCCCTGTGCTCCTCAGAGTCCGGGCTGGTTCATATGGGACTAACATGTCACTAATATATTTTGGTGCGAGGCCATGGAGAGACTTGTACACAAGCAGAGCTGTTTTAAAGTCTATTCTCTGAGCCACAGGAAGCCAGTGCAGAGACCTGAGGACCGGACTAATATGGTCGTACTTCCTGGTTCTAGTCAGGACTCGAGCTGCTGCATTTTGAATGTACTGCAGCTGTTTTACAGCCTGTTTGGACAGACCTGTGAGCAGGCCATTGCAGTAGTCTAACCTACTGGAGACAAATGCATGGATAAGAATCTCCAAGTCTGCTTTAGACACTATGTTTTTGATCCTGGCAATGTTTTTTAGATGGTAAAAAGCTGCTGATGTTACTGATTTGATGTGGCTATTAAAATTTAAGTCTGAGTCCAGTATAACCCCTAGATTTCTGACCTTGTTTGAAGGTTTTAGGGAGAGAGACTGTAGGTGACAGATGACGCTCTCTCTTTGTTTCTGGGGACCAAAGACAATCATTTCAGTTTTGTCTGCGTTTAGCTGAAGGAAGTTGTTTTGCATCCACTCACTGATCTGTTGGATACAGTGAAGGAGTGAGTCCACTGGTCCATGTTCTCCTGCAGTCAGTGAGACATAGATCTGAGTGTCGTCTGCATAGTTATGATAGGAAACTTCGTTTCTGCGTATTAACTGACCTAACGGCAGCATGTAGAGATTGAAAAGAAGAGGTCCCAGGATCGACCCCCGTGGTCATATACATTACATATACATACAATGTATTTATATACATATATTATAAATACAGAGTGCACTTCAATCAGGTTTCATTTGGGTAACAGTCACAGAAAAGTGCAGAAAGATCCATATAAATGAATGCACGGCTAATGCTAAGCTAACCCATACATATGAAGGGGAAAGCTAATGCTAAAGCCTTGACTCACCAATTCCATTCAGTTTCACAAACATGCGGTAGTTGGCGAACATTCAACAGACTTCTTGTTATTTGCATTGTTTTAATAGTCTTCACTCAGACTTGACTGAAAGTTCATGGATGTCATTTGGACATTTGAGGGGAAGAAAATGAAAAGGGACCCCGCATTAATCAGTCAGTGTAGTTGAAACTCAAAAACTTTGGCTACAGCACCCACACCAATATCAATCACAAAGTCAGTGCCTGAAAGCGAGAGATGTTCTGCACAGCAACGCTCGGCACCTGGAGGTTTTATTGAAGAAATGTGCGTCCCTAAATCTGCCAAACTACCAGCACAATGGTTGTGTGGGGAAAACAAAGGGAGGGAATTATGCCTGCAGGAAGGAAAGCAGGTGAACTAAAGAGAGTTGGCAATAAGGAGATGGAGAAGGAGCAAAGTCTCGAAAGCCCCAATACGTCCGGTGGGACTGTAAGTTTTTCATTTGCCGTTTAAGGTAGAGTGTCACTTACCTCTCAATGAGGTCTAACGTCACCCCTGGCACCAGCTTCGCACTCTTCTGCATACAAAACCTGCGGAGAAAGAGAGGAGAACTTAGGGAAACAGAAGAAGTACTACAAGCTGTTGAGGAAGGTCAGTTCAGCCTCCTGCGTACTGTACATCTCAATCTGCTTTATGAGCTCAAAGAACATCAGGAGAGGTCAGAGTAAGATTAAGTTATGCAACAATATGTGACTGGCAACAAGATTCTGAAAGTGCTGATTCAACCGGTTTCCAAAAAGCTTTAGCATATATGCAAATCTGATGATATTTGGATGTGAGGGCATTTGAAATCACAAAGGGCATGAAACAATAATTGTAATCTAATCTAAATATAACAAAATGAGTGGTCGCAATTTCCATAAATGACATAACATTTCCATAAATGGCATAAAATGACAAAAATATTCATGAATTAAGGATAATTTCAAAGAAGATTTTATGTTTGTTAAGCTTTATCATAAACACAGACTTATCTAATCCATTTCAGGAGAAGAAATCTGGGTATTTTTATTAATTCAAGTAAAACATTTAAGCATTTAGTTCTGTAAATCTAATAATGTGTGAGAAAAATCACAGTCGTGCAGCCCTACCAACTTCCATCCTTAGGTTAGTCTAAACCTTCAAATCATGATAATAGATAAACTACAGTTCCAAAACGCTCAACTTGCATTACTTCAAATAGATCAGGGGTCGGCAACCCGCGGCTCCGGAGCCGCATGCGGCTCTTGAGTGCTCCTCGAGTGGCTCCTGGAGCCTTTTCAAACATGTCTGAAAATGGAGTGTGAGGGCAATATTTTATTTCTAGTTTGAATGTGGTTTCTGTAGAAGGAAAAACAATCTTTACGTTTTTAAATGCTGTAAAAATGTGTATAAGTAATATTTAATTTCAACATTTCTGTTAACGTAGTGCGTCATATCCTGTGAGGCGGCCGCTGCTGTAAACAAACCGGCGTGTGAGCATCATAGACTGTAAGTGCACATGGATCCCAAAGCTAAAACGAGAAAGAGTCGATAACAAGACTGGACTAAGAATGAGAATGAACATTTTCTTTCAGTCAATGAGGAAGGACTGCTTCATGTTTGTAATGAAAAGTTTTGTTGCAACACGAGGAACAATGACGCGCAAAACGACGTAAACGGTGATTACGTGAAGGATTCATCAAAAATTCAGAGCACCTATTTTCAGACTTCAAAACCTTCTCAAAGACGGTGAAAGAAAAGGCCATTAAGGATATTAATTCAGCTCCAGCAAACTTCAGCCTGTGACGTGATCGATATGAGCAGACAGTGATGCAGGTATGTGACCTCTGAGCCCAAAGCAGATTGATTTACTGTATTTCTACAATTGCATGAAGGCAGAAAAATGGAAGTTAAACTAAAGCAGAGTTGTCCCGTGTTGCGTCATTCACTACACGCTGCAGTGAAAACACACATTTGATAATCATGAATGATTATTATGTATTTGTAGCCTTTACTTTGTCATTTAGATATTAGGCTAATATAGCTAATACATCTTGCAGCCTGTGTTAACTTCATAAAAGCCTTATACAAGGCTGTTATTTTTTTGGGGCTCCAGACGGATGTTGTTTTTAGTTTTTTGTCAATTATGGCTCTTTGAACATTTTGGGTTCCCGACCCCTGAAATAGATAATGTGATGTGGCTGGAATGGTCCACAATATGGCAATACAATTAGCTAAGAAGCCAAATTACAAGAATTATTAATTTTTTCCAATTTAACACAGATTTATTGGCATTTTAGGAAAAGCAGTTACCATGGACAAAGTAACCTGCCAAACGTACAAAAAAGATATACTGTATGCCCACAACTAGAACAACATGTTTAACAACTTTAAAATCAATGTGGGCCTCAGTTCATAGAGCTCACAGAGACCGGAGAGAGAGAGAGAGAGAGACCAGAGTGAGAGCCGCCAGAGAGAGAGCCACCAGAGAGAGAGACCAGAGCAAGAGCCGTCAGAGAAAGAGTCACCAGAGCGAGAGCTGCCAGAGCGAGAGTAACCAGAGCGAGAGCCGCCAGAGAGAGCCACCAGAGCGAGAGTAACCAGAGCGAGAGCCGCCAGAGAGCCGCCAGAGAGCCACCAGAGCGAGAGCCACCAGAGCGAGAGTAACCATAGCGAGAGCCGCCAGAGCGAGAGTAACCAGAGAGAGAGAGGGCGACCAGAGCCAGAGTGACCAGACACACACCAGAGAGAGACCAGAGAGATGTTTGCGGTGGGGAAAATAACATTGCGCTTTCATTGTCGACATGTTAGAATCAATACAGGTTTCAGTCGTAATAGGACCAAGCAGCGCATGGGTTATTCTCCAATCCTACGTTATTATTCCGAGTGAAAAGTTTATTGCCGTATGAATAAATAAAGCACTCAATGGTGATACGAGTTGGAAGCAAATCACGAAGATGCTTTGAGAGTCGACAAAGCTGTAAAAATATTTGGCTGGTGCTGGGCGCTTTTTACGATCTGTGAGACAATCAGAGCGAGGTGAAAAATGAGAGGTTAGGCCATTAGAGCCACTGAGCACTTTGATGAGTGAGTTTTGGCTCCGTTATAGGCAGAGGATATGGAGGGGGCATTGTCTTATTTTCTGCTGTCTGCGGTGAAGGAGGCTGTTTACATTGTACAGACAGCTCCGACAGGAAGAGGCATAATTCAAGCCAGTTTGACAGATGTGGTGCTGAAAACTTCACATCGGGGGAATGCACAAAATGTAACTCATATACAGTCGCTGCATGGTTAAGATGGAGTAAGACAGGAGCAACGAAACCGGCCCCAACTACAACTTAACTTGGACTAACTTGTTAATATGCAAAACGTACTAAGCTAAGAGTTTTATAATGTTGTTCCTTCATCATAAACAAGCTTCATATATTTATTTAGAGGTGTGAATGTGGATGGATCCGTGTTTGACCCATTTCGCCCCACTGAACGACGTCAGCTGTAATCCAGTCATACAATAGACAAAAAGAACATGTGTTTTAGGAATTTTCGGTGCTAAATGATGCCTGACCATTTTCACTGTATAACCGTCACATCTTTAGATCAAGTGAAAAATAGAGAACCACTCTCACTTGACCAGCTGTCAACCCAAAGTGTCATATAGTGACTCGGAGGGTGACTCTTACAAGTATGCAAAGATAACATGTTTTCTAATGGGAAGAAGACAGCTGATTGTTGTGTATTTCTGACACATTTATGTTTATTTCTGACGCAGACAACAAAAAAAGTGTTAAACGAACAAACAGACAGATGGTAGAAATTACATGCGATAATACAAATGCAGCAGAAAAAAGAAAATGTATATATTGCTTTGTGTTCTTGTTGTGAACCATGTGGAACATTCTATCTCTGCAGAAACAAGTAGATACATAGTGCACAGTTGAGTCAAAATTCGACCTATAAATCTGCATATTGTAATAAAAGTCGCATAACCTTAGCAGTGATATTGTTTTAAGTCTGACGAAGAGGGCCCTGGAGGCCTGTACTGCACAAACGGACTTATAAACTACTTCAGAAATGACTTGCAACAAACAATAAAGAGAGATGTGTGGAAAGAAAGCAAGTTTATTTATTATATGTCCGCTGAGATTATCCAAACACTCGCTAATGCTTTCAATGCTTCCAACATAGCTCATTATTCTTCACAAGACAATGAATGAACCACTTGTGAAATGCCATTCCACGTTATAAGGTCTAGCAGTAAAAATAATGACTTTGTATAACACAAGATGAGACAAACGCCGTCTGCAGGATGGCATTGAAAAACCGGACTGTTCTGTGATTATTTGATCTATCTATGAATAAAAATGTCTTTATTTGGATAGGCATTCAAAACTAGAACTTTCTAAGATACAACTCCGGATAGGATAGACGAGATGCCATTTTGCGTGACTTTCCAGCATCCTCTCTGTGGCATACCATGACTGATATTGTTTATTAAAAATCATAAGAAACTTTGTTGTGGCCTGTATACACCATGGCTTTTTGAAGTAGCGCGTCACTGCTTTTGACAGCTGCAGTAGCGCGTCACGGCTTTTGACAGCTGCAATAGCGAGACACGGCTTTCGACAGCTGCAGTAGCGCGTCACGGCCTTTGACAGCTGCAGTAGCGTGTCAAGACCGACAGCGAATAGGTTTGATATCTACTTTAGCTGTCATGAGTTCAGGTGGTTAGAAATGTGTATAGAGTGAGTGGTGAGGTGTTTTACAGCCTTAAAAACACATACTGTAGATGCAACTTTGCGGATTTCAATTTTTGCAGATTATTATTAGAACGTAACCCCTGCAATAAATGAGGGACCGGCCGCTGTATAAATATTTTTACAAAACATATTCATCAACTGGGGGCGACAGTAGCTCAGTTGGTAGAGCATTGGCCTTTAGGCCTGAAGGTCGTGGGTTCGTTTCCCACCTGGGCACCTTCTCCAACGACTCCCACTGATGTCTGCTGTTACTGTGTCCTTGGGCAAGACACCTAACCCCACTTTGCTGATAGATTGCAGCTCCTGTGGACTCACCACCTGCAGGAGGATCAGAGAGGGACTGGTGCTATGTGTAATGGGTGCAGCTCTGACTGCTACCCCCCCCCCCCCCCCGAGCCAGAAATGGATTAAGGGGAAGAAGATGGATGGATGGATATTCATCAACTGTAATGCCAAAACCTAGATTACAATTTGCACTGGTCGAACAAAAACAAGCCATTCACACTGACAACTCTTTATATCCCTTGGAGTACTGTACAGTAAGCAAAATCTAATAATAATCTAATAATGTTTGGACAATGAGCTGCAATTTTGAACATAAATAACAATACAAGATTTTAGAACTTTATGATGGTTTTTAGTTATGGGATCAACATTATTATTATTTTTTTTTATCAGACTAATTTTGTGCTGTGCTATTATTTTCCAGAATTGGTACTCTCTAAAATGACTCCAACTCTGCCCTACAGTAAAGCTGGACTCAATTCCACAGATTGAAATGTAAATTCCGAAAAAGGATAAAGTTTTTACTG